TCAAGTTTCCGCTAAAGGCATTTCCTCAAGATGATACTATTTTGTTTCCATCGCGCGATTGGTTCTCTATTTGTGATGAAAAAGATATTATGGATATTGATATTAAGTTTGCTCGGTAATCCGCACGCATTATATTTTCTAACGCCAATCAACGAGTTATTTGACTTTTTTCTGCCTTTTTATACAGAAACGTTCTTTATCAGATACAACAAATTATAGATGATACGGACATTAAGTTGTGCTACCTGGCGGTTGAGCGCCTTCACGATACATCAAGGTTTTTTACTGTCTTTGAATGACTATTTTTTTCTTACGCGCGTCCATACATATATTACACATCTATACATACATATATTTCAGTGGGCGCCATTCTGCGAAAAGTATTATTAAGCGTGATACTATGAATCTCACACTTTGGAACGGTTATGCACAGATAGAAAGATCATCGAATAGAATTTCAGAGGTAATTAATTATTTGTGAATGAATTATTAGAATTTCTTTGTCGATATTGATATATATTCATAATTAATAAAGGCGCGTAAAGTATATTTGGGAGCGCTCGGCCGGTATCGTTCGTTTCCCGAACACTTTCGCAATAATGCACCATTATTACATCTTTCGTTTGCTGAAATGGAGCTAGAACAAGGAAGGCATAAAACCGCGATAAGTGAGGCTTTTTCCTTTGTCAATTTCTAAGCGTCGTGGTCTTGATTTTATCTCATCAAACTTTTTTTTTGAAAGATATTCTTGTAAATTTGTCTGAAGAACAAGGGTCTATAGGTATTTCTTTCAATTATAAAAATTAGTTTTCTGCGAGATTTCTTATAGTTAAAATTTTGTTTAGATTCAATATCTGAGACTGATGTTCCAGTCACAAAATTATTGAGAGCAAGAAAGGTGACTTATTATTGAATTTTCAGGATTCCTTAATGAAGTATATCTAATTATGTCATATGTTTTTAGTACTACGCTCAACAAATTGCAAGGATAACATTTTCCTCAACGTCAAAAGATGATTCGAGTAATTTTTTGCATTATTGTGTGTGCTACGCATTATTGGAATGCCTAAGTCAGAACTTGCAACAAGCAAGCAAAGTGTTTGAAGAAATTTTACAAGATTTGGACATTAGGATCGGAAATATGAATGTTGAAACAGAACAAATCTATATGTCATATCCTTCGTTTATTGATTTAATTATTTTTAGAAAAAGTTTTTAGTATTCCTTAACTAAATTCATACTTATGTCAAGATGATCTATCGGCATTCTTCCTTACCTTATTTCCGTGAGTCGGGTGACGACTCCGGTGAATTGTTGCAAGATGTACTTAACAGGGCTCTGAAATTGTTTCCTAATAATACCGTGTTTTTATCTTTGTATTTTCACGAAGAAGTTTGCGGAAAGATACCGCTTGGCTTTCAAGCATTTTTAAAAGGGGCTTTACACAAGTGTATATTTTTAAATCATTTGTTATTGGACTCACTTGAATTTTTTTCTCCTGTCTTACAAGGTGTTTTACGCATAATAGAGACCCAAGTCATATTTTATGGACTGTCGCAATCTATGACGAATTGCATCGTCAACAACCATACAATATTGAACGTGTAAGATCTTTATTCAATAAAGCTTTAGAGTGTTCCGGGTAAGTTCAATTATAGTTCACCGATGTTTCATAATATTGATCTATGATCTGGAAATCTAATCTTCATTACTATTATTAGTACAAGGAATTCTGTTTCCTTTGTGGAGTTTG